ACACAAGAACACTTCTGTAGGCCAAAGCTGATTCTCTTTCTTCCCGCTGACCGGTTCTGGAATCGTCTTTTAGCGCTGGATGGCAGGTTAAAAATCTCTGATATTTCTCGATAAGCTTTTGCAGGGTGTTTTTATTCTCCACCAGTATGGTGGAGTAAATAATTAAAGCATCATCGCTAAGGGCCATGGGGAAAAGCCTTTAGTGCCTCATGCTCCTTCCATTCTAAATAGGTGTATGCTGCCTCAAATCGGCGAACAAATGCTCCCCAGTGTCCTCCTTTAGTCACACACTTTTCAAAATGGCCTAACCTGCGTGGTCGATCGGCGCCCTCTCCTTGTCGCGGTTCTGATTCCCTGGGTAGAATAAATTTGGCGGCCTGGCTGCGGCTACCGCGCACATCTGACCGTTGTACAGCGCCTCCTCACATGGCTCCAGCACTCTGCGCTAAAGCTCAGAGCAGCCACTACTGCTGGGCGTAGGGGATTTCATGCTATTTCTGCTCCGATGGCGACTAGCGGTTTCGGCCCCCACTAACAGTGATTCTACCCCCTCCTGAGGAAATTCTTCCCTGTCTCTTTGTGGTTCCAGCACTATCAGTGGTGATCATGGAGCCTCCGATTGACCCCCCTGGCACGGTGAAGATGGGGCCCATCGGTCGGGGTGCCACACTCTCATCCGTCAGCGGCACTGGCTCCTTCATCTCCGACATTGTCGTCTCCAGTGGTCTGACCTGAGTGGTGACCACCACGGCCGTCGCTGTTGCCTGCAACTTCCCCGTAGTAGGGCTTCCCGCTTGGCCGAGAGGAGAAACTGCTGCAGACGCCAAGGGAGTGTTGCACTGCCGGGCTAGCAGCCAACCCTGTCCTCCCGCAGCTGTGCAGGGAGTATTGAGTAGAGTGTTGTAAGTTGGTCGACCCGACCGCCCAGGGCCTCCTCCTCGCGCGGGGTCGAGGGTCTCGGACATGGTCACTCCTTGCTTTCCGCTGTCTTCTCATGGTTGGGGGGGCTGTTCTGACCCAGTTTTGTAGACCATGCTGTCTCCGGATCACGGCCATCCACGCTGGGAGTAGAGGCACGTTCCTTCCCTTATTCGCTGGGGTATTTTATTTACCATGTCGAGGCATTGTGATCCCACTGCTGCCATCAGTTGTAGTGATCCACCAGAATGAAGTCAGAGGGGCCACACTTTTTTTATTTCTCGCAAGCTCACGCGCCGCACGCATCCACACTACTCCGATTCCCTCAAGAAGCACCCCGATCACCCCGCCTCTCCCGGTGACGTCAAATCTCTCTCTCTCTGGGCATTTTCTCTGTCTCTCGCCCTGCCTTCTCTCTCCTTTTTCTCATGACGTCACCCTGACACTGTAACCTTGGATCACGTGAGTGTTTCTACCCTCGGATCACGTAAGTATTAGCACTAAACCCGTATGAAAACAAACCGACCTGAAAGAAATATAGATTTTTACAATGTTTGCATGTTTAGCTCACAAACGTGGCTGCAGGTTACATTGCCAATCACAGGTGCACGCTTTGATCTTTCATAAAATAGACCCAACATGAGTGAGCGTTCTTTTTCATTCTCTGTTAAATACTATCTATCAAGGTCACAGTAACACAAAGAGCTTGAATGATTCTTTTGACGGTTTTTCTCAACAAAGTTACATCTGTTCACGATTATGCAGCAACTTATTTACTTCAGTTTGTTGAGGAAACACTGTATTTTAAAAAAAATGTGAATAATTTTATGACATGGATTTTTACACTAACGCAGAGGAAGGTCGAGCTAAATTAAATAATGAATTAGGCAAAGTCGCTTCAAATATCACATTTCTTTACAGAAAGTGACAGTAAAAAAAATATACGCAGCACATTGCTACATCCAAACGTGGGGGCCGCTGCAGGCCCGAATTATACCGCCGCGTCTTCGGCGTGGCCCGTTGAGGCTGCAACGCCGTGGTCCCTTGCCGCGTCGCGGGACGACGCCGTGGCTTCGTACGCCGCCGCTGACAGGTGGGTCGCGAAAGCGCAGGCGCCTTCACACCTCGCTGCATCTACGGCATGGCCCATGGGGGCCGCAACTCAGTCGCACTTCGCTGCGTCTACGGCGTGGCCCATGGGGGCCGCAACTCAGCTGCACTTCGCTGCACCTACGGCGTGGCCCATGGGGGCCGCAACTCAGCCACACTTCGCTGCGCCTACGGCGTGGCCCGCGGGAGCCGCAACGCTGCCACCGCCGCACCATGTCGCATCCGCCAGGTGGCCCGCAGGTGCCGCTTGGCTTCCACACCACGCGGTGCCGCGCAGCCAATGGCAGCGCCGGTTACCCAACGTTGCGCCGTTTGTCGCGCAAGGGGGCGACTGGTCGGCCTTCCAGGACTGGTTCGACGCGGCATACATGTCGGTCGGCTGGTCCATGGAGGAGGCCTTGCCGGCGCTTCCGACCTGCTTGGACGAAAGGGCTCTGCAGGCCTTCAAGTCCATCCATCCGGCCAATCGGGCTACACTCCCGGCGGCCTATATCCAAATGGCCAACGTTTTTGAGCCGCCGTCCTGCGCGCAGCTAAAGTTCTCATTGCGGCGGCGGGAGGAGGGGGAACTGCCGCTGGCCTTCTGCTGCTCGCTCCTGGCCCTGGCGCAGGCTGTATACCCTGACCTGTACGGCAGGGCACTTGATTCTATGGCCTTGGGGAAGCTGCTTGACCTGGAAAGGGAGCTAGGAATTGCTGTCGATCAACAATGATCGGCAGATCACATCCTTGGTGGTCGCCGAAAACATTCAGGCGCACCTCTCCCTCCGCCAACGGCCTCAGATGGCGGCGTGTGCGGGGGTCCCGTCGCCGGACGGGGGGGCCACCTCTCAGGGGGTGGACACCCTCGCGGCCCTGGCGATGCCCGATCGTCGAGGAAGGGGGGCGGGTGGTCGCTGTCCGGAGCAGCAGGGGCGGCCGGGACCTTCCCGTCCGCAGGAGGCGGACACGGTGGCCTGCTTCCGCTGTGGTCAGCGGGGCCACATTGAGCGGAGCTGCCGGAATGCCCCGGGGGCCTTTGAAAAAGGGACTCCACCTTCTCCCAGACCCTCGTTGGCATCGGGTCCGGGGCCCCAGGCGAGTCACGACGCATCATCTGCGCGGCCACTCCCTTCACCTCATGCATCTAGCAGGGCTAGGGCCCATCGTCATGGGGTTGTCCTCAAAGGGTCGGGTGCACCATCATGCACCCGACCTCACACGTTGGCCCATGGCATGGCCTCTGGTCGATCAGTCGGCCTCTTCTATCACCGAGGCCTTCGTCCAGGGGTACGTGTTTGACAAGGGCGCGCCGGAACAATTGTTGACTGACCAGGGGTGGAATTTCTCGTCTAGGTTGCTCAAGGATGTGTGACCTCCTTGGCACCAAGAAAATCCGCACCTCGACCTACCACCCCCAGTCAGACGGGATGGTAGAGCGCTTGAACCGCACCCTTATGTCCATGCTGTGCCACCAGGTGAACACGTCCCAGTCAGACTGGGACCTGTTCGTCCCGGGGGTCTTGGCGCGTATCGGTTGGCCCCTCATGCCTCCACGGGATTTTCGCCTTTTTATTTGGTGCACGTCCAGATGGACGTTGGCTCCTCCAAGAAGGGGTCGGCGGTGCCGACCCCTTTGAAGGTCGCGCTTGACCGGCTGCGCGAGGCGCGACAGGCCGCTGCCGAGAATTCCGCAAGCCGACAGGCGGCTAATGAGCGGCTGCCCAAACACCAGGCAGCTGGCCTCCCGTGGGTAGCGGGTCAAAAAGCGTGGCTGCATTGTCCCCAGGTCCCCGTTGGCACATCGGCCAAATTGCATCGCCCTTGGCAGGGCCCCGTGGAGGTTGTGGAGGTCCGCCAGCCGCAATGCGTCCAGATTCGGTTCGGTCGCCGGCAGTGGATAGTGCACCCGTCCCGGCTCAAACGTTATGTTCCATCTACCCTGGGGGATCCACCCCCAATTCCGGAACGGCCGGCTGATGATGTATCCGGCGTGCCTGACCGGCCGGGTCTCGTTGACGGAGGTGACGTCCGACCTGTGTGTGTGCCCCCAGGCCCCTCCCGAGTGAGGCCGACAGAGACCCCCCGGTCACCGGGCCACGGCGGTGGGCCTGTTGCCCGCTGACAGGCCACCTGCATACCCGCTCGAGGGGGATGCGGCTCCAGTGACGGCCCTGATGGCCGTTCAGCGGGCCCAGCCCCTGGCGCCCGTTCGGCGCTATCCGGCGGATGAGGCCTTCTGGCTCTATTTTTTTTTTTTTTGTTGTTATGTTGTTGTTGCTGTTCTGCTTGAAGGGCCGTGCTGCCCTAAGGTTGAGTTTTCTAGCAGCCGGTTTTACCTTCAGGCACACGAACTCGTGATTTTTCGGTCTTCGGTCCGTGTGGGGCCCCACTTGCGGGGTGATTGCTGCCGGGTCGGCTGTTTGTTTTCACGGGGGGGGGGGGGGGGTGATGTAGAGGAGTAGAGGAGAGTGGTGACGTTGTGTGCGCTGTCCGGTGCGGTGACATCACGGGACGTGGGGTCGCACGCGCTGGGCAGTGCACGTGACGTCACGCCTCAGAGGGTATTTAAGAGAGACCCCGTGACGTAAGCGGGGTCACTGGAGGAACGGGGATAGTAGAAGGGGTGAAGAGGTAACCAGGGATAGTGATACGTGTTAATAAACCCTGGCGGAAGCCCCTAACTCACCTCCGTCTCCGAGTACGTCCGTCGGAACTACTCAACACAATGAAAAAAAAATGGTAAAAAAGTAAAAACAGAGCAATGTAATAAAATACACTATTAGACATTATTGTAAAAAATAAATAAAAAGTGCATCCCATGTGTTAGTGAATTCTTTAATATTTTAGGTAGGATATTAGTTTTCAGATTTAGATTTTTTTTCTGGGTTGGGACCCCCAGACACCCTGGAAGATTTGGTCCTCCCCAATGTTGACTCCATGGCTACGGCCTTGGTGTAAGGAAAGCTAAGGTACGTGCATGGAGGCCTCACCATTGTTGTGAGCGTCCAGTTGAGACTGCGAGTTGACGGCCACCTTGCAGATGCCGCAGTACAGCAGGCGCTTGGCCTTCTCCTCGTCCGACTCGATGATGGCTGAAGCGGGAGCAGCACCGAGGCATGCGGCGGCGCCAGCTGCTCCCTCGTGCGCGGCGGCGTCCACGGCGCTGTTTCGCTGCTGGGGGACGGGGCTGCGCTCACGCCCCCCCTGCTGTGCTCCTTCGCACTCTGGGGTAGTGGAACTCGTGCATTCACTGTGACATCCTGAAGGACGCGTGCGGACAGAGGAGAGAGAGCACCGCACGCAATGGATTCACACGCCCGAACCTACAGACACTTCAACGGAATCCCTCCTTTATTGTGCATCTACAGACGCTTACTGTGGAGCGATTTCCTTCAGTTATTGACACTGCATTAAACACAACCTTTGCCTACGAAATATAAGTCCTGTCTATATTTAATTCACTGCAAAACATTTCCAAGCAAGCACAGTGGTGGCATCTCTCCTTCATTAGTCGCCCTGGAACAGTGGGAGAAATTGCACATTTACTATGGACTCAGCTGGTGTCTACATAGGCTGGGTACTGCTGATTTAAAGCAAAGTGGTACTAATTGTATCTACCTTATCAAATACTGTGCTGTGTTGACCGGATGTTAACTCCATCTTTTTATTGCAAGTCTTGCGTTTCACCAGAGCACCTCTTTATCCTTGTAACAAAAAAATACTCGCTTATTTAGTGACCCACGTATCTGAGAAACTTACTTTTTTTCACAGTGAATACGATGTCTCTCTTTTACGTTTGTCTGATCCACGTGTTTCTTTCTCTATCTTGCAACTCCCCAAGTTCATTGCACACTTTTCAGACAGTTTTTTCTCTCCGTTTTTATTGTGTCAGCGTTTTTATTTCATCGCCAGGTAAGATGCACTGACTGAAAACTTCTCCTTAAGGCACACTGGTATGTTGCTTTTCATGACTGCATTATGCTCAATATTCTAAACGCACTCCAACCTGCTTTTGCTTGCCTTTTTGTTTCATTCTATTCTGCCTTCAATAATTGCTCTAGGTTCACGCACCTGCTGTTTTACAGTAACATCCCGCCAACGTTTTTTTTATTTACTTGTTGTACATGACTTCGTCTTTGTTAAGTTTATCAATTATTTCCTGGAGTTAATTTTCATTCGCTGTTATAATAACTGCCAATGGAAGTAAATGGGCTTGGATGGGACACATCAAAAAAGAGACGATGGCCGATGATCCAGACTGGCTATGGAATGGCAGCCAAAGGTGTACACATGCCTTCGAGGACAGCACCCATGTAGATTGGGATGAGATAAGCTCATGGACAGATATGATATGGATCGTGGCATCGTAGGACCATGAAGGATGGTAACTATTTGGGGAAGCCTTCATCCAGCACTGGACACATCATGACTGGCTGATGATGGTAATGAACATTTTCAACAAAAAACTCTGCATTGCACAAAGTTGGATGTCATTAGATGTGTATATCTGACTAGGCAATGTACATGTTCAGAGATGGTTGGGTTCCACCAACCTTTGTGCTCAGAGCTGTTTGAAAGGGTGGTGGATGCCAGGGTGAAACTGGACGAGGAGGGAGATGTGGAGGTGGATGGGCTGCCAAGGTCAGAGGTAGCACCTGTGCTCTGTCTGGCCTTCAGGGCCTCCAGAGCTTTAAGCTTCTTGCAGTGCTTGCTGCCTTTGTAGTGAGCCTCAGCTTGGTTCTACAAAGGAGAATAAAATGAAAGACAAACTGTGCAAGGTCATGGCTCATTCATGAAAACCAGAAGCGACCGCTCGTCGTCAAACACTTAGAATAAGCTCTAATTGGCAGTCACAAAACATATCATGACAGCTGTAATGAATCATAAAGATTGTCATGTGAACAGGCCATCCTGTGAAGCTAATGAGTGGCATGTGAAAATGAATAGAATTATCGGCTCAAAAATAATGCGAATTTACAATGGCAGCTAGAAACATTCAGGCAATGGTATACATCATGGTGTATATTTAATGGTATATGGCATATGTCTGTCTGATATTCAGAGGTTTATAAACATACAGTACATGCCATACTTTGTTTTCAAAGCCGACATGTCATTCATAGGCAGTGTTTGCATGCCTCACACACAATAAACAGTCATCGTCGCCCGTACTGCTCAAAACAAACACGTGGTACTCCTGGGATTTGATGTCAAACATCATATGGTAATGGACGACTGAATGACAGCGTTAAGAGTGCAGCTCAGGATTAAAGTACCCTCGGAATATATGCCAGTTTAGCCAATGAGCAACTCATTGAAATTAG